TATTATTATTATTATTATTATTATTATTATTATTATTATTATTATTATTATTATTAATATGCTAGTTGGGATTTATTGTCAAAAACTACCGAGTACCGAGTTTCGAACAAATCCTCTAATTTTTTTTACAACGCTTTTACCAACTTGCAATGTTGTGTGTCCAGACTACCATTTATACTATAAGTATAGCAAAGGTATTTATGGCAAACCTAGTCTAGATATCAACCTCGTCGTAGGTATCATATCAAAGACATACAATTAGAAAAACTTTAGCGGTAGATGTCGCCCCGCCAGAATAAGTTAAATAGAGCGCCTAAAAATATGCACTACATACGCTACAGCGGAAATGGACGACACGCCATTTCTTTAAATGAAATTAATTGCTCTTATATGCACATGGGCGCACACTAGTCCCAAATCAAGAAACTATGGAATTGGGGTCAAAATTCAACGATTCGATTTGATTTTCTGTGGACAGCTTACGCAATTATAAATAACTTTTATTATTAGCAATTTTGTAAAATATGGCCTACTTTTTAAGAAAAAATTATTATTTTTTTTATATGGAGAAAACCCCCTTTTTATAATTTTAAAGCGCACTTACCACGGATCCGTAATGCGGCTTATGGCTCGTTTTAGAGGGTATTACTGTCCACAATTTCTCTATAGACACCTATTATATAAGTCTGCGACCCTAAAAAACACAGACACTTACAAAAAACGTTAACAGCAATATTAAAATTAAACGCATTATAGGGTTAATTACAGTAAATAACACAATAAGCTATAAATTTAGACTACCTTTGGATCTGAATACGGTGGAGATTCGTTTTACTGTGATACGGTATATCATAAAATACACTAAGTATAATATAATCTATCGCCTTCAAATAGTTACACAGAAAAAAAAATTACCAATCGAGCCTTGGTTTCACAACTTCCTTGAAAAGGCGAGCAAATGATTTGTGTGCAAATACCATTTATTCCTGAAGTTCTAGGAGTATGTTGAGATCTTGTAAAAGCTCTCTACCTACCCTTTGTTTATTTACCATTAATAATCGCTTAATATATGCTAAAGGCATATTAAGAACAACAGACAATACGGTGCTAACTACTAGCATTCTAACGAAAAGGAAAAAATAAACCTTTCCAGATTCTTCGAAACCTTCAAAGGTATATGCAAACATTGAACGACATTCTTACTGAATATAAAGTATTGCCACACTAGTCTCAAATCAAGAAATTATTCAATTAGGGCCGAGATTCCAAGAATCGATCTGATTTTTTTTCTACTTTTTAAGAAAAAAAATAAGTCTACGACTTGAAAACATTCAGGAACTTAATAAAAATTTTAACTGCAATAACAAAATTAAAGGCATTAGAGGGTCTTTAACCGAGTTAATTACAACTAAGAATACAATAAACTATAAATTTATACTAGCTATGCAATTGGATCCGGTGAGAAGATTCATTTTCGATTTCACGCAGGTCGTAGGGAAATTGGTCTTTAAGCATTTCCACTGCTTCTAGAAACATCTCTTGACTTTTCACTTTACTAAATTTTGGTTTTATGTGCATTATATAAGGATCTGAACTTATCAAAAAGTTGTGCAGGATATCTTCGTTGGTTTGTATTCGGGCAATCTTTCGCGAATGTCTTTCCCTGACCGCTCGAAAATCTTTATTTCGTGATTCAGCAGCTTCTTCCGACAGCATTCCAATTGGTATAAAGGAGCAATGTTGGCAAATATCTGCACCATGCACTAATAGCTTATGAACACTAGCAGGCATGTGGTACCAAGGATACAAGCTGACATATAGTTCCGCTGTTTCTTTGCAAAATTGTCAAATTTTTTCTGTTTCAATATTTCTCCCGGAAGAAATAGCTTGCAAAATTATGGCAAATCGCTTTATTAAGCGACTGTCAACACCCGTAATCTCTGCAGACTTCTCGTAATCTCGGAAGAACATCCTGGCTGTGTTGCTGTCATAAGTTGTACCGAGGCCTACAATATCTATCAGTAATCCCGTGACAGTAAAAATTATTTCTGGGTCAAGTGTTTTTTTTTGCTTTTTGGAGTACTTTATCTTCACCTCTAGCTGCCCATTTCTTGAAGTCCATATTGTGTGATATGTGTAAAATACAATCCATGCATCTTATCCACATGTGAAGTGAAGATAATCCATATTTGTATATGTCAACATTCACTGGCTTATTATAAACAAGATCCAAAATGTTCATATCCTTAGGCGTGGTAAGGCAAATATTGCAAGTTGCAGCAGACAGGGTCTCCGAAAATGCCGTACCTACTTTTCCATCGATCATTGTCATATACAAATTGTGAATAATTTCAAATCTGCCTGATTTAGTGGGCACCAAGTTCGCTATTTCTCCTTAGTTTCTTGTTTAAATTGATACATAACGGGTCTGCAGAGGTTTGTTGAAGAAGGACGTGGATTTTCCCATACGATAGCATCGCCACA